AGATGAAAGCTAGTAACAGTCTATGTAAATACAAAAAAAAGTGTTGAAGCAAATTTTAAAGACTAGCCTACAATGTTTTGAAGGAATAAAGAGATCTAAATATATTTATTTCATGGAGAAACTATAGTGACTGCTGGACATGAGTAACAGTGACCTGGAAAAATGAAGTGGGGTAAAGAAGGATGGGAGGAAGGACCTGTTGCCTCTGAGGGCTGCTGGCCCTTTAAGAGATCCAGGAAGTGGTTGGGCGCAGACACGGGGAGGGGGAGGGGCTTGTTGAGGAAACAGGTGTGTGTGCTGACAGGGATGATGTCATTCTCTGGCTGAGTCACCTGAAAGACGACTGCTGAGTAACAGGAGGAGAAGGAGCTGTGTTTCTTTCGAAGGAGATGTCGGAGTGAGGAAGCAGTCCAACAGGAGGAGGAGGAGGAGGAGGCTTAGCAGGAGGAAGAGGAGGAGGAGGAGGAGGAGGCTTAGCAGGAGGACACCCAGGAGGAGGAAGAGGAGAGTCAGGAGGAAAAGGAGGAGATGATCTGACGGCTGCAGTTTGTCAAGGTGAGCAGGAAGAGAAGACCTGATCTCTTAAAGGACCACTCTGAAGTTTTTTTCTTCTTTAACATGTTTCACATAAGTTTGTTTCAATGAAAGGAAGTCATATAATTATAAATATAAATTATACTGAAGGTTCAACAGCTGAACAGGTAGACAGCAGCTTAATGGTTTGTGAGCCTTTTCATTAAAATCTTCATAACTTTAAATTGTTGTATTCCTATCAAAAGATGAAGAGCCTGAAGAAAACAGAGGGTTTTAGACTGGAGGAGGATCTTCCAACATAACAGCTTATTTTTTTTTCTTTGCCAATATTTTTATTGAAAGATATCACACCACTCACACAGTTTCATATAAAATAACGAAAATAAAAAGAATAAACCTAGATAAACCTGTATGAAAGCTAAGACTGGAGCAGAGGTCTATAAAGTACTTGGAAAAAAAATAACTAAGTAAAAGTAAAATTTCATGAACTAAAAAGGACTTTGGTACAAATTTCACTGATGAGAAAATTACTTAAGTAAAAGTAATAAAACCGTTCACAAAAACTGGGAAAGTAAAAGTAGTTTTACACGCAAATAGTTGAATTTACTGAACCAAACTGGCTCCACTAAGCCGGCTCGAGTAAACTGAGTGATTATATGTATTTTATTTGCTCAGTTTTCTCGACTAATTTTAGTGGAACCAGTTGACATGACTTTGAGTAAATTCAACACTTCAGTTTTTAGAGCGCATAAACATCTTTCATGTTGAGTCTGAACATATTTAATTTTATAACAAGTAACTAGGTGTTATGTCCTGATGCATCCCAGTAATCCAGGTAAAAAATCAAAAAGAAAAAAAAATTGTATAGGTCTGCTGGACAGGTTCTTCTTTAATGAAACGTTTCGTCTCTCCTCCAAGAGACTTCTTCAGTCTGAGAGTTTCAGGCAAAATTCAGGCTTTTAAGCCCAGCCTCCATGTGACTGATACATCACATGGCTATCGTTGACACCTAATTAACACTTATTGTTAACAGGGGGTGGAGTTAACAGTTGTCCCCCTCCTACACTGCTGCTATTGCCAGTATCACTCCACCCCCTGTTAACAATAAGTGTTAATTAGGTGTCAATGATAGCCATGTGATGTGAGTATCAGTCACATGGAGGCAGGGCTTAAAAGCCTGAATTTTGCCTGAAACTCTCATGGTGCGTTCACACCGAACGCGATTTCAGCGTCAGGAGCAGCAGGTTTACATACAAAGTCTATGGT